TCGAACCCGCGGGCTCAGGCAATCCACTCACCTCAGCCTCCCAAAGCGCGGGATTATAGGCTGAACCACCGAGCCCAGCTAATTTTTAAGTGTTTTGTAGAGACAAAGTCTCACTTTGTTGTCTAGGTTGGTCTCAAACTCCTGGGCTCAAGAAATCCTCCTGCCTCAGCCTCCCAAAGTGCTGGGATTACAGGCATGAGCCACCGTACTTCAAATACATTCCAGAGGCCTTTCGGCCACCCCAGAACACCTGGCCACCAGGATAACCCAGAAACAGAACAAGACGTTCTAATAAGGTAATTCCAACAGCATTTATGTTCCCCTGGGATGACATCTACCAAGTGTGATAAAGAGTGACTATCCAATAAGGGCCCAGGGGAAGAAGGGGTCAGCTCTGTTCTGTTGAGAGGAGCTTCCCTTACCATTAGAAAGAAGCTGGTCTGTCCTAACCTCGTCAAACAGGAGTGCGTTGCCGTGGCCTTCCTTCTGTTTCTCTTGGAACAGTTGATAGCAGGAGCTGGGGCTGGCCAGGAGCAGCCGGAAGCCCTGGAAACAGAACTGGGGTCAGGGTCGCTTCCTCCCCAGAAGCTACCAAGGGTCCCTGACAAAAGTGTGGGACGCCCCCTTCTCCAGCTCCCACAGACCTTGCCCTCGCTTGTGTTATCCACAGGGATAAAGCACATGAACTCGTCCACATGGCCGGTCATCAGCCAGTCTGAGTACAGCTCCACTGGGGCCTGGACCTGCTGGGCACGGAGGAAGTCCTGGAGGGTCTTGCTCATGGCCCGGCCCTCTGCGCTGGAAGGAAGAGGAGAGAACAGTCTTTGAGCCAGCGCGGCCTGGGCTGGCCGCCTGCCACTTGGTGGGTGTCAGACCACCTGCGGGTAACTGGCCACTCTGGCCTTTGGGGGGCGGTGCCCAGTCCATAGAGGATGGGGTGGTTAGGAATTCCTTATGCTGCTCCAACCCAGGGTGGAGCCACTTGACTCTAGATAGACCAAACCCTGGACACAAACGTGACTTGGGATTTGTGGCCACCAAGAAGCCCAACAAAATAAAACCCCATGGAAATAAAACCTCCTGGGTCAGTAGGCCAGCTGAGCCCCACCTGCTTCAGCTTAAACCCCAGAGTCTCTCAAAGAATAAGCAGTTTCTTTTCCTTTTTTTTTTGGTTGGAGTCTCACTCTGTTGCCCAGGCTGGAATGCAGTGGCACAATCATGGCTCACTGCAGCCTTGGCCTCCTGGGCTCAGGTGATCCTCTCACCTCAGCCTCCTGGATAGCTGAAACTACAGGTGTATGTCACCCCACCCTTTTGGTAGAGATGAGGTCTCGCTATGTTGTCCAGGCTGGTCTCAAACTCTTGGGTTCAAGAGATCCTCCTGCCTCAGCCTCCCAAAGTGCTGGAATTACAGGCTGAGCCACTGAGCCCAGCCAAATATCTTTATCTCAATTTAAGAAGTGTCCAGATCGGTGGCTCAGCCTGTAATCCCACACTTTGGGAGGCTGAGGTGAGTGGATTGCCTGAGCCCGTGGGTTTGAGACCCGCCTGGGCAACTTGGCAAGACCTCATCTCTACAATAAATCAAAAATCATCCGGGCATAGTATCACGTGTCTGTAGTTCCAGCTACTTGGAAGGCTGAGGCGGAAGGATCGCCGGAGCCCAGCAGGGCAAGGCTGCGGTGGCCGGGAGCGGCCACTGCACTCCAGTCTGGATGACAGTGAGACTCCAACTCAAAAATAAAAAAAGTGTCCAGAGACGATGACCTGCTGAGGTTCTGTGGAGCCCAGGTGAGCCACCAGGGCCCCTGCCTTTAGTCTTAGGACATCTGGCCACCATCTGGCCTCTTGGCTCACCTGGGGTAAAAGCTGCTGCCAATGAGGACCCTGCCTAGGGGATATTCCTTCTCTTGGGCCTTGACGGGCGGAGACACCATCAGGTTCCCGATGGAATCCATGCTGGCCACTCTGTGGTCCTTGGTACCCTGGATCACGTAGCCGACACCAGGGCTCTGGAAGGAGACCCAGCCGAAGTGGGGGAGTTAGGAGGGAAGGGCTCCCGCATTCCCCTCCCACTCCTCTGAGGCCACCTGGGCCCTTCCCTCCCCCGGTGCCCCACCCCTTCTGGGCAGGCCCAGGCCAGAGAGGCAGGACTCAGCTGGAACCAGCCAAACCAAGCTCCGTACCAGGGAGTACTTCATGGGGAACTCTTCCAGTGAGACGGCCCGAGGGGTGTCAAGGACCAAGGACACCGTCTTGTGAGGAGCCTGGGTGTAGCAGAAGGCCATCTCGTCCTGGGGGAGATGGAAACAGGCTGGGAAGTCACCTCACCCACCCTCTCTTTCCTGCCTGTGTCCATCTTGCCAGCCACACGGCTCCCTGGGCGGCCCCAGAGAGAATGTGCCATAAGGAAAGACCTCCTCCTTCCCGCCAACTCCTACTCAGCCCTCAAAACCCAGCTCAGATGTCACCCCTTCTTCAAGGCTTTCCTCTGACCCCTTCTCCTGTTCTTCAGGCTTGAAACCGGACTCACCCAGATTCTTCCTTTTCTTCTGTATCTGGTCCATTCACGAGCCTTACCGGCTTTACCTCAAGCACATTCCCAGTCAGTGTGTCTCTGGCGCCAGCCGGGAAGCCATCGGATCTGTCCTCTATGCCACTGTAGTGCCTTCCAGACAGTTTCCCCTCCTCTGTCCCTGTCCCCTCCCAACAAGATCTGCTCCCTGCATTGCAGCCAGAGGGGTCTTTGGACAATCTGAGTGTAGCCTCACTCATCCTATCAGGCTTCGTGTATTTACTTTTCGGCTTAAAAGGTCCCTAATCTACAACGTGGCCCTTGCCCGCCTCTGACCTCTGTTCACAGTGACCTGGCCGCACAGCCCTCCCGTCCTCAGGTCCTCCGAGCACGCCCCACGCGGCTCTTCCCTTCACGCCAGCTGCTCCTGTACTCCAAGGGCTCCTACTTCTCATTTGCCCCCAGCCCCGACGTCTGCATAGCCTACTCCTGGGGTGCTTCAGTTCCATGTAGGATGTTCCCGACTACTTAAGCTGCCTAGTTCGGCCAGTGACTCCCTGGAATGAGCTTTGTTTTCTCTCTCCAATACTTTTTTGTTTGTTTTAGTCAGAGTCTCACTGTGTTGCCCAGGCTGGAGTGCAGTGGCACGATCACGGCTCACAGCAGCCTCAACCTCCCATGTTCAGGCAATCCTTCCATCTCAGCCTTCCTAGGAGCTGGGACTACAGGCCTGTATCACCACACCTGGCTAATTTTTTTTTTAACTTTTTGTGGAGACAAGGTCTCACTATGTTGCCCAGGCTCATCTGGAATTCCTGGACTTAAGAGATCCTCCTGCCTCAGCCTCCCAAAGCGCTAGGATCGCAGGCATGAGCCACTGCGCCCGGCTGCCAACACTTAATCTTATCCTTGCTACCCCTGTAGCTCCCTTGCTGTCCACAGCATCTGTCCTGTCCTGCTGTATCTCTGGGACTCAGGATGGGACATGCAGCAAGGGGTGATCACATGAGTTTTCGCAGGACAGCGCTCCAGAGCTGAAGGCTAACCTGGGCTCTAACCAGGGCTGTGCCGGGGTCAGGCGGGACCCCGGGGCCATGACCCAGCTCTGACAGCCTTAGCTGAAGGCATCAGACCCTTTGGATGCTTAGGCCTAAGGTTTTGTGGTCTGGAGCATGTATGCTTTCTGGAATGGGAGGCTGGACCCCATCCCTTAGCGGCCATTGTACAGCAAGCCATCACCTCTGAGTCTCCACTGGAGTCCTAAGGACAGAGCCACCCCCCCTCGAGGCCTGGGGCTGCCATGAAGGTTAGCCGGAAGCCCGTGAAGTTTCTCCTGGGTGGCACATGCCAAGTCTCCCCACCCCCCTCAGGTGGGCTCCCCTGGCAGGGGGTGGGGGCATTACCTGGAGCCACCTGCCCAGGCGGTTGGGGTCTTCGTAGACAGACGCCACCTGACTGTTGCTCTTCTCACTCAGCTCCGTCACCATGTTCACAAAGCCGTGCAGCTGCAGCTCTCTGCAGGAGAGAAGCCAGCTCAGGAGGGCCATCCAGTTCCCAGCGGGTCGTGGCCTCTCTGTCCCGGAAGGGAGAGAGCCCGTCCCCACCCATGAGGTAGACGAAACAACTGCCTCCACCCATCTCGGAGCACAAGCCAGTGTCACTCGGCGCACAGCATGGCCAGGTTAAGAAATGTCAGTGCCAGCCTCTGCCCTGGTGGCCAAGGCCAGCTGTCTCTATCCTTTGGACACACTCCACAGGTGCTTTGCCCCCACCCCAAGGGACGTGTGGACACCTCCAGGCTCTCCCGCCTCAACCCACGCAAAGAATCGACTGGCTTCATTTCTCAGGGTAGGAATGCCTAAGAAGCCAAGAAGTGAGGTGGCCCTTGAGACAGCTAATAAAGTGGTCATCTTTGTACATGCAGCACAAGTGGGTCTTGAACTGGAGGTCTTGGTGCTGTCACGACAGCATTGGGCTCATGGATCCCCAGTGGCCATCCCCTCCTTGAAGGCAGACATTGAAGTCTGAAGCGATGTTAAGACAATTCTCTTTTTTTTTTGAGTCGGAGTCTCACTCTGTCACTCAGACTGGAGTGCAGTGACACGCTCATGGCTCACTGCCACCGCAGCCTCTACCTGCTGGGCTCAGGCGATCCTTCTACCTTAGCCTTCCAAGTAGCCGGAACTACAGGCACATGCCACCATGCCCAGCTAATTTGTTGGTTTATTGTGGAGATGAGGTCTCACTATGTTGCCCAGCCTGGTCTCAAACCCCTGGGCTCAGTCCATCCTCTTGCCTCGGCCTCCCAAAGTGCTAGGATGGCACGCGTGAGCCACCGTGACCGGCTAAGACCACCCTTTGTTTAAAACACACGAGTCCTCAAGAGCTGACCATCAGCAAGTTCACACTGTGGGAAAGGGCAACTCTGGGACTACAGTCCAGTTTTAGGTCCAGAGCTTTCATTGCTGTGCCGTCCTGTCAGTAGCAAGGCATCTGGTATGCCATTCACCACATCTTATACTACTGCTCTAAAGAACCCATATTGTAGGTCAGCACAGACAGGGCTATAGGGAGCTGGCCAGCCTGGCAAGATCTGGAGCCGTCTGAGGAGGAAAGGTGAGTAGCCCCAGCCTGGCAGGTTATCTGTGGCTAAGTTGGATCAAGCTGTGCCTGAATACCACCCCTCACAGCAGATGTGAGTTTCCAGATGCCTCCTCAGATACCCCAGGCATCGGATATTTACTTTGTCTTTTTTTTTTTTCTTTAAAGAAAGAAAAGTTTATTTAAAAGTAAATTAGAGAAAGAAGAGGGAGAGAGAAGATTCACCTCCCCAAGGTGGGGGAGGAGGAGCCAAAGCCTACTTTGTCTTTTGTATTCCTCCGCAAAATCCCATCAGCTCCTGAGTTTCTGCCTTCTCACCCTGAAAATCTGGTGCTGCCAGACAGTGGAGGGCACACCTCATCAACAAGGGTGCATGCATAATGAACATTTGTATACCTAACCCTGAATTGTACACCACACCTTTTTTTTTTTTTTTTTTTTTCGAGTTGAAGTCTCATTCTGTCGCTCAGACCGGAGTGCAGTGGCATGCTACCAGCCACCGCAGTCTTGACCTGCTGGGCTCTAGCGATCCTTTTGCTCAGCCTTCCAAGTAGCTGGAACTACAGCCATGCACTACCATACCCGGCTAATTTTTTGATTTATTGTGGAGATGAGGTCTTGCCAAGTTGCCCAGGTGGGTCTCGAGCCCGCGGGCTCAGGCAATCCACTCACCTTGGCCTCCCAAAGCATGGGATTACAGGCTGAGCCACCGAGCCCGGCCTGTACACCACATCTTTAAAATTAAAAAAAAAACAACAACCTGGTGCTTCCCTCCTCCCAACAGCCTGCCTCCGGAAGAGCTACATAACTTCTGTGCCCCACAGGTCTGGAGGAATGCGGAAGTCGTCTTCACTGCCCATGGCTGCTCCCGGGACACTCCCTGGCTCCTGGGTCACACACGCCCACGGCCACAGCATATGCTGTCCCATCATCAGTCATTCTGCTGGTCTCTGATGTCCACCTGGCTTCCCAGCGCTTTTTCTGTCATCCTTAGTCACACCTGGTTAGGCCGTGGTCGCTCCAGATCTTTGACTTGATAAGACCTCTTTTTTTTTTTTTTTTTTGAGTCTCACTCTGTCACCCAGGCTGAAGTGCAATGGCACAACGATCACAGCTCACCTCCACCTCCACCTCCTGGGCTTGGTATCCTTCCACCTCAGCCTCCCAAGTAGCTGGGACTACAGGTGCACGCCAACATGCCTGGCTAATTTTTTGAGAGGAGGAGGTCTATGTTGCCCAGGTTGGTTTCAAACAATCCTCCCAACTTGGCCTCCCAAAGTGCTGGGATTATAGGTGTGAGCCACCGTGCTCAGCCAAGACCTCATTTTCTACCTGGCCTCAGCCTCTTCTCCTGATGGTTGTATCACCTTCATAATCTCAACATCTGGTCCCGTGACCTCCACACCTTCCTGTCACCCCTTTCACCCCTGGGTTAGTGGTGTGATCTCACCAGGACCTTGACCCTTGACGACCTCTGTCCCCATCACCGTGTCCTTCCCTCCCAACCCGATTCTGAGGTGCATCATCATGAAACACCCTCGTCTTCCTCCTTGGGCTGATTTTCCAGGCCATCCCCCAGCCCTGGTCCCACACTTATTCTTCCCTAGAGCGCGAGTTATGGATAACTCCCATGCGACGGGCCTCTGCCATCCTAAACAGATCCCTCTTGCCATCCAGCCATCCCGCTAACGCTTCCCTGGCCGAGTCTGTGCGTTCCTCCTGGAACCATGGCGGGCTGTCCTGGGGCCTGTTGAGGCCCCTCTGACTCGAACGCCTGTCCCACGACTGGGTTCCTGCAGTTGCCTCTTCACTCCTGTCAATCTCCCCTTCTCTGTGAGATCATTCTATTAGCCTTTGCCTCCTTAAAACACAGCCTGCCCAGGCGGGGCAATGTAGTGAGACCTTGGCTCTACAAAAAAGAATTAGTCGGGCGTGGTGGTGCACGCCTGTAGTCCCAGTTACAGTAAGTCCCCGACATACAAATGAGTCCATTCCAAGAGCGTGTTTGTAGCATTAGCCTAGGTGCCAATGAACACAGTACATCCTGGGCTTGAAATAAAGATACTGTTCTAGGCCGGGCTCGGTGGCTCAGCCCGTAATCCCATGCTTTGGGAGGCCGAGGTGAGTGGATTGCCCAAGTCTGCAGGTTCGAGATCAGCCTGGGCAGCTTGGCAAGACCTTGTCTCTACAATAAATAAAAAAATTAGCCGGATGTGGTAGCGCACGCCTGTAGTTCCAGCTGCTTGGAAGGCTTAGGCGGAAGGATCGCCGGAGCCCAGCAGGTTGAGGCTGCGGTGGCTGGGAGCAGCCACTG